GTTTTGATTTTCCCCTTTCTTCCGCTTTCTGGCCGAGAGAAAATATGGGGGGTGTTGGGGGGGGGGGGGTGGGGGGGGGGGTGCGCATTAAATTTGAAGCACGGCGGGGAGGGAGGGTGTTGTTGTGTTTATTTTTATTTTCTTATTAAGGCTGCCGTTTGGCCTTCGAGGAAGAGAAGCGACGGGCTTTCATTTCAGCGGGAGGTCTCCGCTCTGCTTGCCCTTTTCATGCGATGAAACCCTTCTCGGAATTCGCTCCATCACCTTTATAGCCCCCACCCCCACCCCCCGCATCTTTCTTTCCTTCACAATCACATCATAAAAACATGAACACAATTGTTGGAATGAAAGAAAAATCCATAATGCTGACTGAAATAACTTGACAATGACAAGTCTGAAATCTGCAAAAGCCACAAAGCGTCCTTTGGTCACATGAGACAATATTTCGAACTTTTTGCAGGGGGGGGGGGGGGCGCAAAACGCAAAACTAATCATGTCCCGGGGCCGCTTTTGGACTTTTTTGTGTGCGCAACAAAGAAATGTGAAGACTAAATCTGACATGTGATAACAATTGGATGAAAACATTCGTCAATGTTTCCCCATTACGGGAAATTGGATTGAAAGAAATGCGACCCTGTCACGGTTTTAACATGTCGAGATTTCATACAGTAACTTGAGATCTCCGCTTGCCAAACGCTACGGTGAAAACAAGGACTGATCTAAACCCAACTCAACATTCTATGGAAGAAGATTAACCCTTTCCTGCGCCAATAATGATAACCTGTAACCTGCTAGCATGATAAGCTGTCCGCTGCAGTGACCGCTGTCCCCGAAAGGGTGAACTCGCAAAAATAAGACTGAATTTCTTCAGTTTCTGTTCTGAAAATGGTCATTTGTTGTGTTGGAGGAGAGTCGGCCTTTGTCTTCCTCCTCGTGTTCATTAATTTTGGATGATGTGAGGATGTTGGTTATCCAAATACAGGCAGGCTGGAGACGATGAACAGTACCTTCGAAGGTTTTATTTTTCTTTTCTGCAGTTTACGAATCGATTCGGGCTCCTAAGAGTTTCAGATTTCATCAGGAAGCCCAGAAAAAAGTACAGTCATGAGAATATTGAGAGACAATATGATAATGAGAGGCGGGGAGTTACGCCTCCATGCAAATCCCAGAAACAAAGAAAGGTTGATGCAATTCGATCTTGGCATGTTGGGAAAGTCCTGACCTCTCTCGCTGTGCGTAAATTTTGAGATAAGAGTCCCTCCCCGGGGGAACTTGATGGCCTTCAGGGACTCTCCCGAGGTGGGGGTCAAGGGGCACGAAAGGTGATTGTAATCACAGCAAGAAGGAAATACCTTCAACAGCATTCTACATTCTGTGTTTCAAGTGTTTGAACAGAACCAACAACAGAGAGGGGCTAAAAAAAAAATCACAGTAAGGAATAGATTCCTTAACAGTTGTTACTCTTGCATTCAAAAGATTGCTCTTTTTATGGGCAGTGGCACATACGGGAAATGTACTGTAAACAAACATCCGCAAGAATGCATTTTGATTGGACGCGGTGAATAATGCATGAATCCTGATGACAGTCGTTGCATTTTATCTTCCGAGCTGATTATCTGGAACTACGCGGTCAATGATGGAGCGCGCCGGCGTCAAATCAGTGCAAGCAAGCGAGAGTCCAACTTGGAGCTCAAAAGAAGATGCCTCCCGGAGTTTGATTTCACAAGAAACGGATTGTTATCGACCAATCATCTGTTGGTTTTTGGTTGTCCATTTCATCATTTCGAACCCACTTTTGAACCCTTTCATCATCAGATAGATGATGATCACCCCCCCTCCTCATCCCCTCCCCCTTTCTGTTTTCTTCTTCCGAGTCTTTTATGCCACCTTATGGGAGAAAGATAATGACAGTGCTATTAAAATTGCAATCTCCCCATGCGACATTCGAGTTTCAGCACTTTCTGCCGTTAAAGAGTAATGAGGAACAGACGGACAGTCTTCTTCTCCTTCTAAACGATCAACTTTGGGGACCGGATGTATTCTTTCGCTGGATAATTAATGGCCACTGACAAATGGCGCTTGATTGAGGGACTCATCCTTGTATTTTCAATCACCATCTGCTGTGCAGCGCCGGCAAAAAAAAAAAAAAAAATGTTAATTACCTCGAGTGTGCCCGAGACGCGGCGTATTAATTAGAACAACAACAACAGCATTGCAGGGTTTTAGTCGTGATGTTTGTAGATTTTTGTTGATGGAGTAGGGAAGGAATGAGATCCAGGAAGTTGCAAATGTGCTCCTTTGATAAAGCATCGCCGCTTTCATCGTTACCTGGACCTGCGGGCCAATGGCGGCTCTCTTCGGGTGGGACGTCGGTTGAAAGATGGCCGCCAGCGGCGGGCCGACGGCTGATCGGATGCGGCATTTGCGGCGCGTATCATCACTAATTATTTAGCAATCACCCAGTTGCATCAATAACAATTTCGACAACAACATCAACACTTAATGGCTTCGTTCAAAGCGCCGAAAAATAAAATATGCTCCTTCCCTTCATATAAATGGGCCATTTCCAGTTTTATTAGGGAGCGGATGGAGACTCGCACTGTGAGTTAAAGAGCGTCTTGAGGTCTGAATTACTAACTGACGAGCCTCATTACGCAAACAAGTAAACACGGGCCTCATTTGACAAATGTCTGGATGCAGTTTGTACAAAAACATGTTTTTTGGGTTTTTTTGTGTCGATATTGAAGAGCCCGGATGGTAAAATGTGATTTTCAGGTCTCACACACACACACACACACACACACCCACACATTTTTTTTCTTTTGTGGAGCAGTTTTGCAATCAATGACTTGATCTGAGGAGCAACTTTTATGGAGCATTATTTTCAGTTTCTTTTATTTTTTTTGCTGGTCAATCCCAGGGACCTGAAGCAAAGGATTTTATTAAATCATAAAAATATGACAATATAACAATTGTTTTTCTTTTTTTATATAATCAGGTGTTTTTATTTCTTAAATTCACTTTGTGGATAGCAGCAAACTATATCTTCTTCTTGTCTAGGCGCAGACCTAAATTGATAAATAATATAAAAATTAAGGAGGACCAAACTGCAATGTAATTTTGAGAACACTTACTGTGCAGATCTCAAAATCAAAACTCAGGACACCTCGATGCGACATAATAACGGTAGTTCATTGTAAGCATTTCAAATAAAATGGCTGCCACCGACGATGTGTAATACAGTATGAACATTTATAAATGTAAAAACATGAACATGAAGACAGTAGAAACTGGCATCCGAGAGGGCTACGAAGTCAATTTTTCACGGTAATGCCTTGGTATCGCCGCATATAATAATAGAAAAGATTTTGTGTATATTTCGGAGACTTGAAACCCCTCTCAGTCCTAAAACCCCTGGCAGGGGATCCTAACCTCCATCTAGAAGTGTCTTCCTTTCAAATTCTAAAGCTGGCTACCCCGCTTGTTTGTTTTTGTTTTTTTTGTCCTCGCATCATCAGAGAAACATCCCATATTTGTCGGATCAGGGCGCCATAATGGCTCCGTTCAAGCATTCCTGATGACGGGATGGCTGGAAATGAGAGAGATCCTGAGTGCTTGCTCCTTTTATTTGCTCCTTTTTATTTATGTATTTATTTATTTATTTTTGTTGTCCAGTCTAAATTCAGTTGCAGGCTACTTACTCCCTTACTCCCTCCCTCCCTCTCTCTCTCTCTCTCTCTCTCTCTCTTTCCAGACCGCAGTTTGAACCCCCGGCTCGTCACGCCACAGGAGATGGGTCACATGGACAGTTATTGTTTGTTTGCACTATTTATGTCAATGTACAGTCTGTGGCAAATGGCCCCATAATGTAATCAGTCATTCCTGCTGTCCCGCTCTGCCGTCCATCAGGCTAATGACGATCCGGAACTGTGAGAAGTAAGGCGGCTGTGATTTCATTCCCGTGTCTGGAAAAATGTCAACAAAAAGAAAGAAATCGCTCTTCCAGGAAGCTCTCACTCTCTCCTCTCATTGGAGCATCCAATTCCTTTATAGTCATGCAATAATCATGATCAAAATCCGTCATCTTAATCCTGGGTTGTCGGTACAAACACGTCAAATCTTGTGGTGGTGTTTTTTTTTTTTTCCTGTCTGTCATAGTGCATTAAAATGCACGGACAGAGGAGCTGTAATTAGCGGGCAAAAATGAATCCACGTGGCGAGAACGCAATTAAAGTGCTGTTTGGAGCACTTGGTAATCTTGTGTGACAAGGCTTACAATTCAATTAACCCCCGCTTTTTAGCACTTTGTTTCAACTTCCTGGGAGGCTCATTTGCTTTCAACTTACTTCAATTTCATTAATGAGGCCGCAGGAAATGTCCAGTTTGAGAGTTTGCTGGTGTTGGCGACACGTGAGACGCTTCGCTGGCCAGATAGCGCTCAAATAGGATCATGTATGATCTCGGATGCACGGTATAGAAAAATGCTGCGGCAATTAGTCAATATCCTGAATATCCAGCTAACCAGTATACTCTCCATAAAACCCTTACGGAGCTTCAAATTTCACGTACTAGTATCCTCTTTCTCCTCACTAATGGAATAGAAAAACGACAGGTTACTGGTAAGGCAAAAATGTGCTGTGTGCTCCTAGCACTGCTAATGACAATTCAGAATGGGTCGAGTAAATATTTGGCGATTCACTAGAAGTACAAGTAGTGTGCAGATGTCAACTAGTTCACAGTTTTGCCTTTATTTTTTTTTTCTGCCCGTCATTATGTGTCACCGGGAGAAAATATATTACATTCGAGTAGGGACCCGTCATTAGTAAGAGGCTGTTGTACTAGTGCTACTTTTTGTAAAAAATTTGTTTGTTGCCTTGCCATATTTTTCTCAGATCAAATTTGTGCCTTGGTTGGGAAATAATGGTTAAAAAAATAAAAAAATAAACCAAACGGAAACTTCGTGGAAACGATGACGTCATCTCATCGCGTCTTCTTTCCTGTTGGTTGTTTGGCTAGCGACTGTCTTGCGGGCTGCGACACTCTTGCGCTCAATCAGCGCTGATTTGGAGGAGGGTGGCTTCTTGCTACGAGCGCAGTCACAAGAGCGAATCACCGCCTTTCCAAGTACACCACGTTCCGTCATTCAGTGCGATTTATTTCAATAGACTTCAACAATCTGTTCATTGTTTTATCGTCCCAAAGGAAGCGCAAGCAAAGTACTATATCTCTAAAATGCTGACTCACTTCACTTTATTCGGAACACCTTGCTAATGCCATTAATCTACGATCGTGGTTGTAGTTTGCAGATTACAACCAAAATAAACAATTATTTGTTAGTGTTCCTTCCCCCACCCACTTATTTTGCATTTGAAGGGTTACTGAAAGCAGACATTTGGGAAAATTCGTCGTGTGAGCCCATCCAATGTGAGTCCATTTTATTTATTTCTTTCGGTGACAGGATGACTATCGTTGAGTTCAACTACAGATCATGACGACAAAGACTTGTGCTGCCACCTAACTTAATTTTAATTAAAAGTTTATTTTGAATGTGACGATTGGCTCGTTTTTTTTCATTGGCTCTGCTTTGGTCAAATGACAATGATATTTTTATTTTTTATTTTTTTGCCACCAGGAAGTACGTCTGACGGACGTTGTGAGAAGGCACCTGTTGTTTTGCATGCTCATGACCACCGCCTAGCAAAACTACCGAATATGTGAGGATTTCACTGCCGCACCCGTCTTCCCAACGCTGTGTTTATTCAAGTCATCACAGCATCATGCACGATGTTTTTGACACAAAAAATCCTTTTGTCTGTTTTTTTTTTTCCCCCCCTCAGGTCAAACAAGACGCCACACTGCCATCTTGGATCACTTCCACCCGTAATGTTTGCATGCTGGCCAAGGGCAAGTGCTTCCCATGCAGTCCTGTCACTGATACCACATCCAAGAATTAGGGCTGCTTCTTTCCTCATCACTTGTCAAGAGGTAAGTGTGTGTGTGTGTGTGTGTGTGTGTGTGTGTGTGTGTGTGTGTGTGTGTGTGTGTGTACATTTTATCAAACCATTTGCGACAAGGGCAAGAAAGACTTTGATATCCGTCATTTTATCTCCCGGCTGCCTGAGGGGCGCCAACTTGTTAACAGGGCGATGGGTCCAATGTTCTTGCAGTGCGTCAAATTTTGCGTCTTCTTTTGTTGTAACGACACATCCCCGCTGAGGATGTGACAGGCAACCCACACATTTTCTACTAATGGCAGCTTTGGGTACTTTGAAGTGGCTGCTTTAATTTGCTGCATGGTGCCCATCACATTAATGGTGGAGAAAGTTTTCCAATGATTTATCGTGGCCTCACTTTTTTTTTTTTGGTCCCAAGTAAGTGGCATTTGAATATGGGCGTGTCGACTTTTTACAGAATCCCGCTTGTCCTAGTCATCAGTTTGCAGGGGAATGTGTGCGTTTTCTATTATTGTATCTTGTTAAAACACTACAAGTGAGCGCGTATACCCGGCGCTGACATATTTGCAGAGTGCCGACACGGCACAATTTGTTTGAGTCGGAGCAAAGAGGGAGAGCGAGTTGAGCCCCCGAGAAAGCGCTGGGGCTCACCTTTTGTTATTATTTTCCGACTCAGTCTCTTCCTGGCCTACTTTGAGCATTGTTGAAGCGCACGGCAATTTAACGCTGTACGCTTACTATGCAAAGGTTTCGAGAAGGGGGGGGGGGGGATAGCCTAGTCGCATCAGTTGGTGCACACGACACCATAGAACGGTGTCATCATTCAAATTCTTTTTTTCTTTTCTTTTTTTCGCCCATCATGTATATGACATGGATTGGATTTGTTCATGTGAACAGTACAGTAAAGATTTTTTTTCTTTTTTCCCAATCCAGCCCAGGACTATTTTGTATGTGTATTTAAATCGGATATGCGTCGGATTTGACGCTCTGGTTGCACTCATCTGGCGTGTATGTCGAATCGAGCAATGGTGATCGGAGAAACAGAAAAAAAAGTTGCAAAATAAACCGACATTAAGTTTCAACCAAAGTGTCACCCTTCATGCCATGTTTCTGCGGGCATGCGTGTCACTTGACAGACACATTCTGTTGACCTTTGGAGCTGTGTTTGCTCTGATTGAACAAAAAAAGCTCTGATTGAACAAAAAATCCAAATGGCTTGAATGCAGCCTCAACACATACACATAAAACTTGGAAAATAAATTTCTTTCACTGGCTTGATATAACCAAAAAACTGGTACGGATTCATGACATATTGACATTTCTTGATGTTCTGTTTTATAATTGCATTATATGAGAAGGGGGGGGGGTATGAAGACTACAAACTATCAAAATAATTTTTAATCTAAAAAAAATAGGGAGGTGTCCAATGCATCTGTGTAATGATGATCTTTCACAAAGTGGCATGGCCAGATATGTGCACTGGAGCCCTCACAGTCCGGATTGTTATGGGATCGTTTGATGTGGCCGTTTTTTCGATTGGCTGTCACGGTCACGGCTTGTTTTAAAACCGCATAATCCTCCCTCGACATCACATTCCCTCAATAGCTGGCTAACCCTTGTAATTGGGAAGGCTTGAGACGCTGTGATTTTTCTCCTGTACGTCCCTTCTGTGAAGAATGCCATTGGCTTTTTATTATTCGGCAGGGTTTCCAATTTGCCAGTGTCAATTTACCGAGGCCTTTCTGCCTCCTTGACTGCCATAATCAACGCCAGCTCCAATTTTTTTGCAGCTTACTCAGACGTCAGCGTGGAGCGAGAGCCCCAAAATTTGCCGACGTGCCGAGTCCGTGCCTGACAACATCCACGCGGCGATCTGATCCCGCAATTTGCGTACACACGCGGAAGCAAATCCTCGCTTTCACCCTATACGTTGGCGGCCCCCCGGCCTACTTTGCAAATCAATCATGCGGCACAAAACGGTGGCTTAGAGTTTTGCAGATGTGTTGGGGGCAGCTGCTAAAATATGTGGCGGAGTGTTTACGGAGAATACGAATGAAGGTATCATACGAGTTTTATGGTTCCTAATAAGCCCCAAGGCGGGGAGCATTATGACTCTACACTTTTACAACCTCGGATGGTCTGCTCAGATGTACGTGTGTGTGTGTGTGCGTGTGTGTGTGTATTGCTCAGCAGAAGATGAGTGTTTATACTACTTTCACAAATGGTGGCTGATTCCAATTAAAATACACACACACACACACACACACACACACACACACACACACACACACATTGGTCATGTTGATGCACAAGTTGCGTTCAAAGTAATAGCAGATCAGTTATTGTTTTTGGTAGAAGTTGTATGACCACATGGAAAATAAATTGTAGGTGGTCAAGTCATAGAAAACCAAAGAACATTCATCATCGGCATGCTCCTCAGCCTGTTTAGCCGCGATGGTAATAATTCATGGAAAGGGCCCCGTTCAAAAATAATCGTGAATTAAATTGATGACAAATCTGGGGATGGAGTAACTGTTCACAGGTGGAAGGACTGAAAGTAGTTCTCATCGTGTGAAATGTGGAAGATGGTTTCGCTGGATACAATATATATTTGAGATGGTAAAGAAAAAACTCGGGTGCTACTCGTCTAGTTTGAGACAATTGCGATGCTCGTCAACAAGGTTCAGAATCAGAATCGCCTTTATTGTCATTGTATAGCATACAACGAAATTTGGGTTCGACATGAAACCAACGGGCCATTCAAGCCAGAGCGTGTTATTGTCGTGCCCTCATTACGTTGACGGTGCATTCATGTGGTTACTCCAAACAAGCCAGCAGCTGCAGCCTTTTTTTTTAAATGTAAATGAATACATACTAAAGTACAAAAGCACCTTTTTTACTTTTATCTTGCAACACATGCCTTCTGAAAACTCATATTGCTTCCTTCGTCCAATTTCTATGAGGGGAAACGAAGTTTCTTGATGGGAGGCATTAAATGGCGCCTGACAAGTAATGTGCGCCGCGTGTCCTAATGGATGGATTTCAAGGAAAAATCCTTATCTCACCCTCTTTGTGTTGCACTTCAAAGTTGCTGAGCGCGTTGGTTTTCGGGTTTGTTATTCAAATTTGCGCATGCCTTTTGGCCCTTCATAAGCATATTAATAGTATTTTGTCACACAAATGGCTGGTGGTCATGGAGGCGTCATCAAACAATGAAATTGCGCCATAAACGCTTTAAAGCCAGGCAGGATGTGCTCCTAATAATGCAGGCCAGTAAACGACCCGCTTGCTTTTCAACGGTTTGTCGCGGAGGCCGTTCCAAGACCGTCTTCGTGCCTTCTGCGTCGCCGCCTTTCTGGATTTTTTCCTGCGGTTTGATGAGCCGGAGAAACGCGTCGTGTGTGCTAAGATTAAACAAGAGTCCACATCAGAAGGGGACGATAAAAAATGATCGTATTGAGAGGCCGTTTTTTTTTTCATGCAAACTTAACCGCAGAATGTTCAAATCATCATTCAAATCATTGTGACTGTTTTTGTGGATGTTTTCATCGTTATTGAATTATAGAAAAAAATTGAACCAATCTTACTGTATGTGAGCTCTTGGCCAACGGGCGAACTTTCAGCTCTGAGGAAACTGCAGTCTCTTGTTTACTTTCGACGTCAGCTTGCTACTTTCGACGTCAGCTTGTGGTAAACCTGCGTGACGTCATGCTAGCCGTAACGGCGTCGTCTTTGATCCCAGCACTTTGTGCCCTCTGTCATCAACTAATAGCTTCAACTATGACAGAATACAACACGACGCCTCGTGTATGTCGAGTTCAAAGGAATGGTGAAGAATATTTTATCTGGTTAGGATTTGCATTGTCATTATTTTATATTTTCTGTCCGTGCACCAATAATAGTATATATAATGTGTCACAAGTCGACTCGGAGCATGCTGGCTCATTTTTAGCATGTTTCCCAAAACCCAAGGTGACATGCACCCTCCTCCTCTTTAACCCTTTGATGCACCCCGTGACCTGATTACATGATCAGCTGTCCACTGTCGTAACCGCTGTCCCTGAAAGGGTTGAAGTCATCCGACGTTGACGTTCAATCTTTTGCAGAGAACTACTTTCAACTACCCCGTCAAGGGTTGATGCTAACTTATCCCCCCGCCCCTCCGCCTTCCAAAATTGTTTACTTTCACAGCCGCGAACCACCGAAATGCTCATTTCTGGGGTGGCGCTGTGAGTTTCCAATCCCCATAACTGATGACACATTTGCGTCATCCGCAGAAATATTTCACCGCTTGATCATCCATTAAAGGAGTTAAAATGTGCTGAATGCTAAATGAGCCCGCACTTATTGACTCTGCGCGACAAGTTGTGTTGGCGTTCATTTATTACATTTGCAGCCGAGGACATAAATAAGTGTCACGTTTGTCTGATGGGGCTTCCCGGAACACGGCGGCCTGATAGAATCGATGGCTTTCTAAAAGCGCTTATTCGAAAAGAGGATCAATGAGAGAGATCATTCCCACGTGTACACAAATAGAGCCATTGATGCTATTGAGAGCCCTCCGGCCTGGACGCTAATGTTGTGGTGGTGACGGCATCTCTATCCGCTTCCTCCACTTCTCCCCCCCTTTTTTTTTGTGTTTGTTTACATCTCATAATTCAAGATGGAGCCGCCGCGATGGAACAGAAGACCTCGGGCTTAGAGTAATGCCCCTGAAAGGCGGCGCTCACCCCGCCGCCACTGCCGCCGACATCAATATTTCTCTTTGGCTTTGGCGACAAACTTTCCAACCGCCGCGCTTGTCAAGTTGTTTGCGTTTGGCTTGCCGCTAAAACCTTTTGATTGCTATCTGTCTATTGCCGCAGCTTTTGTGTATTGTTAGCCCAGGAAACCACCTGATTCCCGGCGGTGCTCCGGTGTCTTCAAATCCTTCCCAAAATGATTTTGGAATAAGAATGCAAATTTTTTTGAAAGCCTTGTTTCTCACCCGACTTTTGTCTCAAAGAAGAGCGGGGAAATGCTTCCGTGCGT